ATGATACACTAAATGTCTCAGTTTGCATGAGAGCATGCACACACACACACACACACATTAATAACACTATACTCCCAGTTGTGTTCTTGATAGACGACAGTGACTCATTCCCACATCAACAGTGTGCCTATATGGAGTGGGTGAGAATTGAAATGCCAGTAACTGTTCATTTAGTGTATAATTGCTATCCACAGTATCCAAGAGACAGCAGTGCTGCTTAAAACATTTTACACTGTCAAGTGCAAAACAGAGAGCAGCTTCCATTCTGATTGAATGTTTAATATTAAACCTCCACGCCTCTCTCCAATTACCAATACCGTCTCTGTTTACTCTCCTCCTGCAGTCTGGCTTTAGCTCTGTAATGCTCCATGCACGTCTATGCAAATCCGCCTTGCCATTGTTTGTGCCAACATAGTGCTGCGGCCGTCTCTCTGCCCTACTGAGTCAGCTTTATTTGAGCCTTTTGTGCCTTTCACCTTTCTCACTGCTTCTCTCACATCCCATCTCTCCTCCCAGGAGAAGAACTTGGAGTGGTTCCCCCGTATGAGAGCCATGTCGCTGGTGAGCAGCGAGGGAGACAACGAGCAGAATGAGATGCGCTCTTTGCAGGACAAACTGGACGGCACTGTCACTCTGGTGGCTCAGCTGTCTGGCCAGTTGGCTGAGCTCAAGGATCAGGTACAGTGCCACTTCAGGCTGTTTTTCATGCTGTGGTGGGAAAAGCTCTGGTCTGAGCACTGTGGTAGTCTGAACTCAATGCCTGATGACTAAGCTAAGGAAAAAGAAAAAGTTGAGTAGCATCGTGTTTTAAATGCATGCTGTTCAGCCAACTATATCACATGGACTGTGAGCTTCACGTGCTACCTGACCTTGAGACTCTTTTCACCTCAAAACATATACAGGGCCAAGTGGTCACAAGGAAGAGTCTCATTTTTCTATCCATGTCTTTACTTCAGTTCAGTGACCTAGATGAATTCTATTAGATCCTTGATGATCCTGAACGCTAGGTGACTATCGCATCAGCGATCACCGCGACTGATTGCCGCCAGTGTGCCTCTGGCTGTTTGGATGACTAGCTATTCTGCTGCAGTGTGACTGATCACTCTCATCACCTGCCTCCCCTGCATGTGATTCCAGTCACAGGCCTGTCCTTGTTCCTCTTCTGCCAGATGTGTGAAAACAACTCCTACTGGGAAATAAACAAAAAAAGCACCTCTCTCGACTGCACTAAGCGGTTCAGTCTGTAACATCTCTCTGCTGAGTTTGTGTGCTGTTGAAGTGCCCTAGAGCAAGACACCGACATCTTATCTCTGAATCTGAAATAATTCATGGCCTGCAGTTGACCAAAACTACAATATAGCTTTAGAAGTCTACACTGACTAATATGGAGTCATGGGGTTAGCGAGGATGTCACTCCACCTTTATGATAAACAGAAACTTTGAGATGCGAGGGAGTTTATGCAGGCCTAACCACAGCTCTGCAGTCACAAGGGGAGGCCTGCAGGTCTCACGCCAGCGCAACTCAACTGTTTCTGACTGGGTGGAAAGTGCTCCTGCAGCGCCTTCCTCATTACCACCTCTGCTGACCTCGGCGCTTTACACTATCACAGCTCAGAGTGTGTTCGTGTGTGCTGCTATTTGTGTGTGTGGGTTTTTAGAGTTTTGCACAGCATACTTGATTTCCTTTAACCTGCATTTACATTTTATGGGTTTACAAAACCCGTGGCCTTCATTTCTGACGTCTTTATGACACTAAAAACACCGCAAATGTAATGGTGTGGAGAAACCATCTCACCATCTCACTTCTCCACCACACTTTTACAACATTCAACCTGCAGGTAACCGTTCTGCACAAAACATGACAGGGTCCTCTGAGGAAGTTTCCATGGGACAGTCATAGCAACGGTTGAACAAAGCGATGTGCATACAGCCGTGGAGAGGAAATATCTCTTTTATAAGATCTCAGTCTCATGTTTTTTTTCCCTCTCTGTGTCCTCCACAGATGACAGAACAGAGGAAGAACAAGCAGAGGCTTGGGTTCCTGGGTCCTCCTCAGCCCAACCATCTCACCTCGGCCCACTGAGGGGCTCAAGGCTCAAACGTGACACGGTGACGGGCAACTCGGCTGCAGCCTGCAGTAGAAACAAGCTACAAATGCAAACACACACAAACTACAGCCTTAAGAACAATACATGGGCATATTTTCAATTCCTGATGTCAAAATGCAAGAGGAAAGCAAGGGTTGACACAATTGTTTTGACATAGTGCCTTTTCTATGACACGATCACTGCGTTATGGGATTCAAACTGTGCCTTATGAGCTCTCTCGGCCACTAGGAGTATGCTTTACTCACCACCTGAACACACCCTCCTACACAGGAGCTCAGCTCTGTGAATGATTGGCCAGGCACGACACACATCTGCCAGCGTAGTGTTAGTGTGCCAGACAGAGGTCGGGGGAAATGTTAAGGTAAGGTTAATGTTTAAGTGCTGTCAAGTCTGCGGACGGTCGCGTCTCGTTCCTTGACTGTCCTCAGTGCTCATGTGTCGGAGAGCGGACACAGAGGTCGTGATTGGCTGTGTTTGAGAAGTTGGGGGGGCTTTTGGCCTCCAGGGGGGAGATTCTCCCCTTTTACCTTTTTAGATTTCTGATCGTATTTATGACAAAATGTGCGAATCTTAGCTGGAGTAGTATTTTGGTGTCATGCTGCCTTACTCATTAACTTTTTTAAACAGTACATTGCAACTGCTGAAAGTGCACTTTTTTTAAAGTGCAAAAATGTAAGCCTGTAACTGGAAACATTGGTTAGTTGGGGTATTATTTTTGTGTTTAAAAATGCATTCGCTGCACCATTTCAGTTTTTTTTTAAATATATTTCTACAGAGTATATATATATATAACAGAAATGTGAATTACAAATAATGATTACCTGTGCAGAACTTACTTGAAATGTCTTTTAAATCTAAATCGTATATTGGTACATAATGTAGTAGACAGAAGATGGTAAGATTACAGTTATTTATTACAATATGAACATCATGACTATAGAGATGCCAATACTGTAATATTTACTGTATCTGCTCATATCATCATCTTCCACTGTTTCTTAAATTTTCATTTTATATGTAAATCATAGTCTCTCTTGGACTGCAATTGAGTGTTAAGTCTGACCTTGTGTTTTAAACTTGCACAAACTAATGGCAGATTGTAAGCGCATGCACTCAATGTTAACTGTCCTGTGACACTTTCTGTTTCAACAAAGTGTATAATACATTGTGTTTTATGTGGTCAGATGTTGTAATAAATTTGTAACAAGACTCTTTCTAACAGAGTTGAGCCTCAGTCCCTGTTGTTGTTGTTGTTGTTGTTGTTGTTGTTGGGGATGAATGAGCACTCAAACGACCCCCTCTGCACCCACCCACACTCAGTTTACTCACACTTGTACTCTTCCATGAAGGGAGTGCAGGACAAATGAAAATACCTGTCCTCTGGAGACAGGATCCTACTTCAACTCATGCAGCAGGGGTAGTCATCTAATGTTAAATTCAAAGTTGCTGTCACTGTGCTGCTTTTGTTCATTTTTTTTTATGCTCATCTTTACATTTCATTCCAGCTAATTAACAGATTCTAAACCAGAATGGAATTTAGATTTTATACAGACAGCTGAATATAATTGGTAGTTCAATGAAACATCCAGCTTCTGCCCTACAAGTGGTAGTTGTACAAATGCAAATTTGACTAAATGGACCTTGTTTAATTGTTCTAGAAGATGTGAAAATGTTAGCAGTTACTGTCATTGAGTGCTTCTGTCTATCCAAAAGGCTTCCCTTTGCAATGCAGTGTGTAAACTCTTAAAGAAATGAAATTGCCTTTTTAGTTGTTGAACATTGGATATATTAGGCCTGTCGTCCGCACATCCGTTCAGTGTATGTAACTTAGCTTTCAGTACTTGTGTGGAAATGGATAAATCAAAGCTGTGGCTGGTTGATTGTATGTTTGTGCTAGTGGAACATATTTGAGATGATAAACGAATCGCAGAAAGGCCTCAACCGGTCTTTTATCCCGTCCAGTAATTTACCCTCTACAGAGAAGCCCATCCTTCCTGGCTTCAGTTCACTGTTTACGCTGGCAGGCCTGTATTTTCTCCTGCTGCCTGTGACAGCCATTAAAATTAGCTCACGCAGTGCCATAATGGTGAACAGCTGTCACTGCGTAGACAAGGAGGGTAAAGGGCATTACTGCAATGTATTGGACTCAGAGAAGGAAGAGAGGGTAATACCAGGACCATCATTACTGTCTGGCAAAAGTCTTATTGCCATCGTGTGATACTAAACAAACATGCACTGCTTCGGTCTGCATCGCTTCCTAAACAGACCATTTCATCAGCTGAGATATATTTTGATGCTTTTAATCGTGGAGACAAAATGTTAAACTTTGTTCTCTGGTGGGGGGGGGGGGGGGGGGGGGGTGTCTCTTTTTTTTTTTTGTTTTTTTTTTTTTTTTTTTTTTTTTTTTTTTTTT